TCGACCGAATTGTCTGAAGTGTCACATGTGTTAGCATCAATCAAATCAGCGGGTTGTGCAGCACCGTGGCAGAATCATAACCTATAAAGCCTGTGAACTTGATGAGGAGTCTGTGGTGATGTGGCATAAAGCATCGCGCTGTCCTACTCGTAGAAAATATGTTTGTGTACTTGGAAAACATGCTGAATTTGTCTCTGAAACACGATTTATTAGACAAATGTAATGTGTTTGTTTGATAGATACATTTTTTTATTTGCAAAACTAAATGCATTTGTTGGTCGATGGTGTTCTGTATTTGCAAACCACACTGGGTTTGTTAGTAAGGCAGTTGTAAAACTGGTTTAGTTTATTTGTGGAGTTATGGAAGGAAATTAGCTCCATATTCGAAAGGTGGTACATTTCCTTGCAAATGTTAAATGTAGTATGTATTATTTGTTGGGGTTATGACTGCCCAGAGACATCAACATCAGACACGCCCACTTTGTTAAGTTTCTACTTTAACCGTGGAATCATAACCTATAAAGCCTGTGAACAAATGATGAGGAGTGTGCGGTGATGTGGGCTTAAGCATCGAGCTTTCCTAATGTGTAACAATTTGCAATATTTAGGTACAAAAGTTATCTGTATGTTCCTAAATCTGTTAAACATCAGAGGCCAAAAGCAAGTAAATGATCCCATTAGGCCTGTCCCGAATACCATTTTTCGGGCTCTGGATATTCGGTAGTAATCAGCAGCGAATATTCGGCCCGCGCGTGTTGAACCGCTTCAACACGTGTATTTTGGTGTATTCACGGCATTAATTTTGTTACTCTACAGTATTGTTGTTTTATAGTTATCAACCCAATTTGTGTTCTTTGAAATTGAAAAGGATATCGCATTGTGTTTGTTACTTTCGTTGCAGTTGTATATGTCTTAAGTGTAATTTGGCTTGGCTTCCTATTTATGGACATGCTTTTATTTTGAAGGAGAGTTAGCGCTGTAAACAGGAAGTTGTAGTTGCTATGGAAACAATGTGACGGAGATTAACGGAGAAAAGTAATATCTACATATAAAGACGGAGAAAGTAAACGATAACGTTTATGGTTAAGTGTTAGCACCCCCCGAACAAGCTCTTACGTTGATATTGGAGATTTCAATAAATTCAATTTGAGAAAAAAACGGGGGAAAAACAAACCAAACGAATATCCGAATAACGAAATTGAAACCCGAATAGTACTCCAACGAACGAATATTCGGATATAGCCCTAGATCACATCTATAGAAACAAGCATGCTCAAAAGCTCACAAGATGGACTACAGCGATATTCAAATTGCAGTAAACAAAATATGTGTTAAAAGCTCGGTCGTTCGAAATGTGGCACATTTCCTTGCACATTTTAAAATGTAGGCTATATTATTTTTAGGGTTAAGACTGCCCAGCAACATCAAAATCAGACACGTCCACTTTGTTAAGTTTCTACTACTTTTGTTGATTAATCACTTTTCTATCAAGATCACAAGAGAGCGATATTGGAATTGCAGTAGACAAAATAAGAGTTAAAAGCTAAATAGGTGGTTCGAAAGGTGGTTCATTTCCTTGTAAATTCAAATGACTTCCCAGAAACATCAGACACGCCCACTTTGTTAAGTTTCTATTATGACTTCTGTTGATTTACATTCCAGCAACCTCTTTAGACAAAGAGCAGCGATGACGAGATAAGGTTTGATCTGATGACAGACCGAGCCCTCAAGAGGAAACACTCCAAAATATAAGTTACACCATCAGATGTTTCCTCTCTTTGACTATGATGAAAACAATCCACTAATGTCTCGTTAACAGCCACTAATAGATGGTCCTTTATAACTCCAGACACACACACATTGCAAATTAAAGAAACAAGAATGAAAACATGATATTTCAAGCTTAACACATGTAATTCCTTGCTGCTTTTGATCAGTTTTGATCACTGTAACCTAAATATCTTGGAGTTTTCCTGTTCTCTTTAAGATTATTACAATTGTATGGGTTGGGTCAGATAATAATTTAAACAAAACAAGTAATATTAAGACGTCAACTTTGGTAAATGATGTCGAATAAAAGGTTTTATTTTATGTACAAATCCTACATGTTATGCTATCAATGTTGTGTCAAGTTTTTCCAATGGATTTAAAAACATTTCATGGAATATCAATGCTTTAAGGTATAAATCAGACGTTAGTGTCAGTAAAACTAGCATTTTGTCGTGCTGTTACATCCAATAATACCTGACCGCTGCTCTTTGCACCGCTGTGTTTTCAGACATCACGGTCCAATAAGAACCCAAATGTCACGGCTGTGATCGATAGAGCTACGACAGACTCATGAAGAGAGACGGATACAAACGAGTCATGGTTGTTTAGTTACAGGAGTTGCTTCTTCCTGCGCTGCATGTTTCTTTACAGAGAACTTCTGCTTTAGACATTATTAGGGTGGGAGATCAATGAGGCTGGCCTGATGCTCGTCATCAATAATCTCGTTTTGAAGGGAACTGGGTGAGCTTTTTATAAAGATATCGTTTTTTGGCAAAACAGCAACAAGTCTCCAGCCACAAAAATTTCCTTTTGCTTTGAATTCAAACCAACTACACACTAGGGCTGTCCCGAATACCATTTTCCGGGCTCCGGATATTCGGTAGTAATCAGCAGCGAACCGCTTCAACACACGTGTATTTCGGTGTATTCACGGCATTCATTTAGTTATTCTACAGTATTGTTGTTTTATAGTTATTTGTTAATGTAACCCAATTTATGTTCTTTGAAATTAAAAGTATATCGCATTGTGTTTGTTACTTTCGTTGCAGTTGTATATGTCTTAAGTGTAATTTGGCTTGGCTTCCTATTTTGTATGGACATGCTTTTATTTTGAAGGAGAGTTAGCGCTGTTGACAGGAAGTTGTTGTTGCTATGGAAACAATGTGACGGAGATTAACGGAGAAAAAGTAATATCTACATATAAAGACGGAGAAAGTAAACGATAAAGTGTATGGTTAAGTGTTAGCACCCCCCGAAGAGGCACAAGCTCTTACGTTGATATTGGAGTTTTCAATAAATTCAATTTGGCGGCAGCCGCAGTGCAGCGAATAACGAAATTGAAACCCGAATAGTACTCCAACGAACGAATATTCGGGTACAGCCCTACTACACACACACACACTTTTGGAAACCTACCATGCTGAAGTAGGAACTGGTTTGAAAATCAATATAAAATAAATCGATAAAAGGCTTAATTTTCAACGTTTATTTGTGTCACAATTGAGACATTTATTAAATGAACTGAAGATATAATTGATTGAAAAATGACAGCTCATATTTAAATTGCATACAGCATGATAGATATTTGAATATTTAGTGCCCAACCTCAATGGAAATTGGCCATTTGGATACAAATAACTTAATGTCATTTGTAAGTAGACTAATTTGTTAATGATGGGAAAATTAGGTTTGGTCTGCCAACAGTTTACTTTAATACTATTGTTTATTCTAAAGTCTGTAGAATACAATTTGTAGGCAGGGATATCACTAAATGTGTACTTTTACAAGTATTCAGCCTTGAATATATGTTGTGCTTCCTGTATGTTTAATATTGCTTTACTCTGTATTGAGATTTTAAATAACATTTCAAAATGTGTGCAGCCGGAAAATAACCGACCCAAATAAATGCATAACAAAATCAGCAGGATAACATATTGGTCTTACTATTTATAATTAGTATAATTGTACCAATATCGAAAAGAGAGGCTTTTTAAACAAGCTTGAAGATCTAGTTTGACAGTTTTAAAACCTATAAATGGCAACAAAAATCCAAAGGCCCCTTAACCTATTTGGGTGGCCCACGCATCCACCCCCCCCCCCCTCAAATAATAAAATACATGCGAGTTCATGGCCCCTGTAGCAGACAACGTTCTTGTTGCTCTGTGTTGCGTTGTTAGTGAGTGAGACACACCGGAGTTGAGGATCTGTGGGGTTTATTCTCCCAAAAATATAATTTACAATTTAGGCATTTAGCAGACGCCTTATTCCAAAGCGACTTACAATGACCAATCACAGGGAGCAGGGGTCGGCAACCCTTTCACAGCAAACGATGCTGGCTTACCGGTATGTTTGATATGTGGAGAGAAGTTATCAAAGGTGCTGCAGCCTTTACGTATCGAGGGAAAACACGAAGAGGAAGACAGCTGACGATCTTCAGTCATAATTCAATCAGTAAACTCTTTTTAGGGTGCAGCTATACGTTTTATTTATTTCAAAGCGGGTCAATTATAATTGTATTTTTTTTTTCTTCAAATGTGCAGAGGACTCTCCAAGTGCTGTGTTGATTTATTTTAAAGTAGGCCTGTGTATTCTTTTAATTCTCCTTATAAGAGTTCTTTGTTTCTTATTAGAGGTTAACAGTTTTATATAATGTAATAAATAATAAATGCAAAAAAACTGTAGTTTTTGTCTATGATGTAACAATATATACAACTTTATAAGCTATCAAGCAATCAAATATGTTTTGCGGCTCCAGAAAAAAGGTTGCAGACGCCTGCCCTGGAGTAACTGAGTGCCTTGCTCAAGGGCACACTAGTGGTGGTGTTCCAGGCGGGACTTAAACCCGCAGACTTCCGGTCATCAGCCCACCTCACTATCCATTAGTCCACCAAAAAAAAAAAATAATAATTTTTTTTTATGACATCTATTTGTGGCGGACGATATTTAATCGCCACAAATGAATCAATGTATGGGAAACACTGGACTTATATAGCGCTTTTCTAAAAACTCAAAGACGCTTTGACAGAGAATAAAATCAACAAAAAAACAAAGAAAAATACAAAAAGCGATAAACAAAAACATTTATTATGTTTTATGTATGCACCACCAAGTCAAATTCCTCGTAAGTGTTACCTGGTAAACCTGATTCTAATTACTCTTAATTCAAACTAAATTAGCGCGTAAATGCAGGATAACTTACAAACATGCATCTTGGCGTGTTAAAAACTCACCAAATGAGAGTTCTCTTTTGCCTCTTGGACTTGCTGCACCTGTGGTTCAGCTACAACTTTCGTGTCCTGGTCAGAAGTCATGAGCCGTCTGCTTCTTGGCTCCTCAGGGAGAAGTCTCTGCGTCACCAAGTAAGCTACGGGAGGGCGGAGGGGACAAACAACATGTCAGAGTCACAATGGATGTTTATCACAGGACTTTGGCTTCATATCAGTTACACGTGCACAGAGGAGAAGAGGGCAGTGGCCGATAGTGACTGGAGAAAAGCCGTCTGAGGACTGGAGGGTTGTTGTTTCATTCATATGTTGCTAAACAATTATAATAATAATACATTTCATTTCTAAGCTCTTTTTCAGGTGCTCAAAGTTGATAAAAAGCAAATAAAATAAAAAATATTAAAACAGCAACACAACATAATTCACACATTAAAAGCCAGTCTGAAGAGGTGAGTTTTGGTCAGTGTTTTGAAGGTGGGGGGTCAGTCAATAATAATAATAAACAATACAAGACAATATTAGGGCTGTGCAATTAATCGTATTTTTAAATCGCGATTACGATTTTGGCCTGCAACGATTACGAAAACAACATAATCGAAAAAAACTATTATTTTGCTTTGCTAGGTTGTGACCAAATTTATTTTAGTGTAATTTATTTGTATTCATCATATTTATATATGTTTAGTAGCTTGTGGAAGTGCGCTCCAATATATTTGTTGATCTTGTTTATTGGTATTTAGTATAATTTATTTTATTAATTTTTGTATTGGTTTTTCAGTTGAATGATACGTTCAAAAAAGATACTGTTCACATTACAATTTGTTTTCAAAGTCAATGAATAATCGTATTTAATAACCGTGATATCAATTATTGACCAAAATAATCGTGATTATGACTTTTGCCATAATCGATCAGCCCGTGTGTGTGTGTGTGTGTGTGTGTGTGTGTGTGTGTGTGTGTGTGTGTGTGTGTGTGTGTGAGAGAGAGAGTGACAAGAGCTATATTCAGAGCTCTGCTGCCTTGGCTACACTATTTCATCGTTGCTGTTGTATGATTGGTGTTTAGCTACGGTATTTAGCGTCTACAGCACCTCCGCTTTTAGGGTTGACGTAGACCCAAACGTCGCCCGGAGGTCCCCCGGTGTTGTTGCGGGAGCTGCTGCACTAACTAACGCTACATTAGCAAAAGGTGCAGCGGGCTTCAAACTCGTTCCCTCCGCTGGTTTCAACCAAGCACTAAATTCGATGTTTTCCAACCAACTACGGTTGAACTTACACTTCCCCATATTTATTTATAAGTAGATTCGAAGATACATTGAGTTTCTGACTGCCGCTAGCTGAAGCTTGGTTGCTAGGTTACTAGCTGGGTGTTCTCCGATAGGGGGCCAGGGGAAACAAAGTTAGTGATTACTGGTTCCATGTTGATTCATCGAGCAGCCCAAGACAATATGATAACAAACATTAAGGGTAAAGAAAAGAGAGTATTCCAAATGTAAAACACCAACTCAGTGGACGTAATACTGAAATAAGAAAACATAAATAAAATCTAAAATAAAGTTGAAAGTGTCTACTGATTTTGCCTCATATTTCTTGCATTATTTTACTCATCTTATGTATAAAATAATGCAAGCTTTAGGTAATTTACTAACATAGAATACACACGAATACTATATAGCTCTTGTTCAAATAAACCCAATCTAACAGAACCGATTGAATGTATCTTCAAGAAAGCATTCTTACACTTCTTAAAGTCCAAACTGTCTTTTGTCCGTGAAGCTGAGTGATTTATCTAAAGCACCTGACATTGGGCCAGTGAATAATTTAGGACTCTGAAGGAGGTGACGAATACATTTTGTTTGAAGAGGCCGAACGTATGTTTGATAAAAGATGTAATCCTGGTTCAGCAGCTCTTACCAAAACACAGAAATAATACGTCTGAAATAAGAAAACTTTCAAGATAATGTGACGACAGAAAAGTACAAAAATAAGCCGATCACTTTTGTTAGTGTGACTCGATCTGCAAGTATAATTTAATCAATATATGAAAGACAGGCTGTGTAAACAGGTTTGAAGATCTGGTTTGACCGTTTTCAAACCTATAAAACATCAACATCAAAAACCCTTAACTACTTACTCTTAATTATTCTACAATGATGTCTCTTGTGTTAAATAATCTGTTATTTATTTGGCTAATTCTGAAAGCAAAACAACAATTCATTGGTTTCTATGTTCCTAAACTAATGTATTAACTGTTTTCTGACATTTCACACATAATAGTCTGTAATTATTTGATAATACTGCTAGTTGTAGCGAAAGCGAGGAGTAGGTAGCTTTGCAGGTTAAGTCAAATGTGTTATTGGATATCAGAAGTTGATGTTACTTCATTAACTTCCTGTCAATCCAGTCTTAAACTGCTTCAGCAAAACTGACCATCATCTCCAAACATTTGTTGGTGCTAGTGACGTTAACATATTTTCAGCCTTTTTTTGTCTGCATTTCCGTACCTGCCGTCTAATTGGTTAACCCTTTGCCCTACATCTGACCTAAGAGTTACACATTAACAGATAGCAGTGACCCCAGAGTCCAAACACCACTGGAGACGCTTCTGTTCTGTCCCGTTGGAGCCGTTTGTAAAGCAGTGATAATCCGCCCCAACAATCGGGGGCCTGTGTGTGACACGAACCCTCGCTGTGTTTGCATACATAGCAGAAAAAGAATGGCATTGCTGTAAAGCTGGTGACCTTTGATCCACATACTGATCCCCATACATGGCATGTTTGTGTGTGTGTCATGCCACTGCGATGAATGGGGCTAAACACATCTCTCCATCAACGGCAGTCGGCTATCAAAACAGCTGTTGTGTAGGCCTGTCCCGAATACCATTTTTCGGGCTCCGGATATTCGGTAGTAATCAGCAGCGAATATTCGGCCCGCGGGGGGGGAAACCGCTTCAACACGTGTATTTTGGTGTTTTCATGGCATTCATTTTGTTACTCTACAGTATTGTTGTTTTATAGTTATTTGTTAATGTAACCCAATTTGTGTTCTTTGAAATTGAAAAGGATATCGCATTGTGTTTGTTACTTTCGTTGCCGTTGTATATGTCTTAAGTGTAATTTGGCTTGGCTTCCTATTTATGGACATGCTTTTATTTTGAAGGAGAGGTAGCGCTGTTGACAGGAAGTTGTTGTTGCTATGGAAACAACGTGACGGAGATTAACGGAGAAAAGTAATATCTACATATAAAGACGGAGAAAGTAAACGATAACGTTTATGGTTAAGTGTGAGCACCCCCCGAAGAGGCACAAGCTCTTACGTTGATATTGGAGATTTCAATATATTCAAGTTGAGAAAAAAAAAAAACGGGGAAAAACAAACAAAACGAATGACGAAATTGAAACCCGAATAGTACTCCAACGAACGAATATTTGGATACAGCCCTATTGTTTGTCCGCTGAACTGTACATTAAACTTGTGTGACCTCCACACCATGGCTCAGCATTGAACTGAGCTGAAGTGATGAGATATATTCCTGAGGTTCAGCAGCATGTGAAGGTTAGGTCCAAGACTTCTGAAAGAAAGTTATTCAAACGACTACTTGGCAGAGAGGAGTCTTTTGTAAAACTAAACTGAGCATCTGTCGGGATTTGCAGCAGAGGAGGATGTGCATGGCATTTCTTTGTGTGTTTGAGAAACTCTATCCATCTACAGCAGTGTTTCTCAAACTTTTTCATACCAAGGACCACTTAACCAATAAAAAAAACACTCGCGGACCACCTAACTCCACAAATATCAAAAAACACATCGTTTTTCTAGAACTGATGACAAATCGCCTGAAAATGGTACAAAGAAGCTGCCACATGTGTGATGAAGGTGGGGCGCTGGGCTATATCATGAAACTTAACCTCGCTCCATTGCGGAGATATTCCCGCGAGAGTGCGGAAAACTGAAATTAATGTATTTATTTCAAATGTGAAATGTTACCAATATACTCACGGACCACTAGGGGGCGCTCACGGACCACCAGTGGTCCGCGGACCACACTTTGAGAAGCACTGATCTACAGTTATGTAAAAGCTCTGTAAACTAGTTTCTCTTTTATTGGTCACTTAACAAAGAGTTATATCCTTTTAAATTAGTCACGCAAACTCTGGGTTTAGGACGTTTTCTGTCACATAACTTGCTGGATTATTGCACTATTTCACAATTTTTGTATTTGTGACTCTCTCTATCGAAATCAGTCGGAAGTCGCAACGGCTCATTTCAAAATAAACGTGGATTTACGTAAAAAACTATTTTTTTCAGATGATAAATAACTTTGATGCTTCGGCATAATTACGAGCGGAGAACGGAGTAACCTAACGTCACAGCAGGCGTAACAACAGCCGGTGTTTCTCGTGAGTGTTTTCCCCGGGAAACAAACACAATACACACAAACGCAAAATTACACAAGCACACACACTCACACACACTCACGAGCTTCCCCTCCAAACGAAAATATCTTCCCTCCGTAGTATTTTGATCATTTGCTAATAATCAATCAGATCGATGGATTCCAGAGAAGAGAAAACTTTGAAGGCCTTTTTCTCAAAATGAGGACTCGTGACAGTCATTATATAATGCGACATATTTTTGCTTAATATTTGGAGTACAAAAACAATCCTGATATCATTAGAAAGCTAGGAATATCCTCTTTCCAGCAGTGTATACAACTCAAAATGTGTCTTCGGGATAATGCGACTGATTTCGATAGAGCAGGTCACATGTACTTGCACTATTCTTTCCGTTTTATTGTGTTGCACTGTTGGAGGAGCCTGAGACCTAAGACTGTCATCGTCATAACACTGTAGCTATGTACGTATGACTATTACAAGCCTTGAACCTTGAGATATTTCAGAACTCACTGTATGGCTTTTAAAAACCAAGTTGTTCCTCTTGTAATCTGAAACTCCAACGGTGTATTGATGCCTGCCTTTCACCACAATGCAACAATACATTAACATAACATGATTATTAAGTTACCACCTCTTACAGACACACCAAATCTACCATGCAAAACCTAAAACAACGATAGTCGAAGTAACACAGCCTTGGTACTTATGTTGAATGGGGCAATCATAAGACAACATGCAGTTTGACCT